TGAAATATCTTGCTTCAAGCCTCCCATTGGCTTGTGAATGCCTTCTGCACAGTTGCAGTCTCAGCGCAAAGAACATTTGAACGCTGGCAGGACTTTGGGGCAAGGAAATCTCCTTGCTTGAAACCTCCAATTGTCTTGTAAATGCTCTCTGTGCTGGAACAAAGTGAAAGGCATTTTCAAGCTGATGGGAGACTTCAAGCAAGGCAATTTCACTGTCCCAAAATCTCATCACAGAGATGTTCACAGAGAACAGAGGCCTAAACTACTATAGTGAGAGATCATTAGCACAAGTTCTGATACTACTGATTTAGTGTCGTTGCACACTAGAATACTGCACAAACTACAGGGCATTGGTGCTTGTGTAAAGCTGGGGAGGATGCCTGGAGGGTATGTGTGTGTCAAGCTGTACTGTATGGACTGCAATGGGGAGGAGCGATGAAAAGGGTAAGCCATTGAGGGCAATGGGCAGAGGGCAGTGGGCAGGGACTTCCTATTTTGACCTCTCCCCACTGCCATTGCCTCTGCACCTGGACTCCAGCCTAAAACCAAATGGGCAGTTTGAATTCCTTTCCGCCACTCCCCAGCACTGTTTGTCCCCTCTGATATCCTCCCCAGCTACACACAAGCATCAATGTACTGCTGTCCCTCCCAGACTTTTGTGCTCACCCTGGATCACCCCTTCCAGCCTTGTCTGGCCCATCTCAGGTGCCCCTTGATTGAGTGAGGTCGAGCAGGCTAGGTCAAGTTGGCCATGCCCTCCCAGTCATTTGACCACCCAGCCACACCCACCTGGCCCTCTGAGGGTGACCATGATGCTGATCCAGCCCTCAATGAAATTGTGTTTGACACCTCTGCTTTAGAGAATGACTGATTAGGAGGGAAGGGATGAAAGAATTTCTAATTGTACCACAGTAACTATGTCCAAATGATTTTCTCAGTGGCCAAATAGGGAACATTGAAATTAAGGTGGGGAAGGTTATAAAATGAGGGGAAACATCCCTACAAAATAAAGTTGTTTTTCAGGACAAGGATAGCATGGATAGCTTTGCCTTTTTCCTAAGGCTGAGGGAATGATGAACTCAAGATCTCTATGCTTTATACAGGCTTTATGCTTAAGGAATTACTAGAATTTATAATTCCTAGTCAGATGCCTTAACCACCACATCAAAGTGACTCAACAGATTTATTGTCTCTATCACCCTCCACAAAGTATACATCATAAAAAGTTCTCCGTTTTGTTCATAAAAATTGTCTCTATTATATTTTTACTACTAGGGGATTTCAAGTTGGCATGTCTCTTGATAGTAAACAAGTTATAGGCAAAGTACCTTCCTCATGATACAAAATATACTAAAACAAAATATATAATTATTTTTCTTTCTCTGTAATTATCATAAATAGTAATAATTAATTCTTCTTCATGACACAGCCATTCTGGAGAAATACTGATTAGTTTTAATGTGAATTGGGAATTGGTAGATAATATAAATATGCCTAGTAAATTAACATTTTGAGTTAGAAACAAAGGATAGGTAATGGTTCAGGATCTGCCTTACTGGATGTTGGCATAGAATGTGAAGATAATGAGTGTGAATGGTCATCTAAGGGATGCTGCAAAGTTGAATAAAGCCAACTATTTCAGTGCTTACTATAATTTTAAGATGATATATATTCTTCTTTTGGTATCGTTTCCTCATATGTCATGCCGCACAGAGATAATACAGTGTACTTTTAGTGATCTTCCTATTGCTCATCACAGGTACTTCCAAACTGAAGATGTCATCATTGGTGCCATTACTTCACTTTTTGTTATGGCTACAGAGAAGCCTGATTTCAAAGAAAACCCCATTCTTGCATCTATTGATGAACCTCTGTAAGTAATAAAGCATTTTTAAATGCATGCTTGTTAAAATTATTTTTGAGCAATTGATAAATTAAGTTCAGTAATGCAACTATTCCTTTCTAAAATACCACTTCTAGATGAGATGGGTGGCATGCAAGTCTAATAAATACATAAAAAATGAGAAACATTTTAATGATTGTACAGCACTAAGTCCAAATACATTTATTGATAATATTCTAATTGACAAGATTGTTTATATTAAATCACATCCTAAAGATAGGCCCTGGTTTTATACAATAAAGTGGGTGAACATTTGAGTTCTGCATTTCTAAATGAATGGATTTTGCTATTGTAGATAATACCGATGTTGTTATTGTCATTGTTCTTCCCTCTTATTTTAACTTTCAATGCTAGACTATTATTCCTAAGAGAGAAAGAATAAAAAATATTTTGCTAACATAAGAGAAAGGGTTGTACATTGGGTGTAGAATTTTGTTAAGGTGGGGATAGGGAATCCAATGTAATTATTTAAAATATAAAAGTGCATTTTTAAATTATTCATTTTTCTATGAAAATACCATTTGCAGGTGCACTGGAAAAGAATAGAACACAAATTCATTTCAGATAATTGTTGCATTGTAAAAAAAAAAAGAGATATTTTTAAAATTATAAATCAATGGTTGACTTCCAAAAAAAGAATGTATTTATGAATCACATCTTTTTTGCAATGTATTTTAAAAATGTCTTTTTATAATACACTATATAATTCTTACAGGGTCCACACTAAGCATTACCAACATGTATTGGCATTCATATTTGCTGTGAAAGACATTAATGAAAATCTCCAGGTTTTGCCCAATATCACCTTGGGTTTCAAAATCCATGACAAATATAGTGGTAAATGGACGTATCATACCACCATGGAACTTTTTTCCCCTGTAAACAGATTAGTTCCCAATTATAAGTGTGGTACCAAGAACAACCTTATTTCTGTCATTGGGGCTCTGTATCCTGAAATCTCCCTTGATATGTCTCATATTTTGGCAATGTACAAAGTTCCACAGGTAGGATATTTTCATCAGTTATGAAACTTCAGGGTTACTTATATTCTTCAACATTTTTTTTAATTTTATTTTAAAAAGTACAGAAGTTTCTATTGATATTTTATTTGGAATAATATCTCAGTAGATAAATGCAGTTTCTTATAAACTAAAGTTCTTTAAGTGAATTTTTGTTGTTGAGATAATAACATTTGAATGTCAGTTTTTATTATTCAAACAGTTTAAGCATCAGCTTTTGTGATTCAAACGTATTTTGAGTATCAGTTTTTGAGATCAGGTTTCGTGATTCAAACAATTCCTTTTTTAAGCCTTTCTTCAGAGGCAACTGTCCAAAATAGCCCTAGAACTCTTGATATAGGCTGAATCTTCAAATGACATAAGCCACTTCCTGTGACTTAAACTATCATTTTTCAAAAAGGTAACAAAGNACAATGGAGCAATTACATGCTGAGAACGCCCAGTTGGCACAGCAAGTGGCTCTGCTGGCTGGTCAGATAGCTCAGCTGTAGGGGCCTGCTATTCCCCCACAGCTTTGAAGGAAATGTCCGGTGGCTGTGCCGGACAAGTTCGATGGCAGCCAAGCCATGTTTCCAGCTTTCTTGGAACAATGCCAGATGTTTATCAGCTTGAGAGCGGAGAACTTTCCTACTGACTGGGCTAAGGTGGGATTTATTATTAGCTTGTTCTCAGGCACAGCAGCTTATTGGGCTACTCCTTTGTTATCCCAGGCTAGCCCTCTGCTGGACTATTTCAGGGGATTTTGTAAGCACCTCAGACTGATGTACGAGGACCCCATTAAGGAGGAAACAGCTACCAGACTGCTCAAGACACTGCAGCAGGGCCATGGATCCTTGCAGGATTATGCCAGTGAATTCTGGCTTCTTAGTCAAGATTCGGCCTGGAATGAGGCACCCTTCATGGACATCTTTCAAGGTGGGCTGTCAGATGACCTTCAGGATGAGCTGGTGCAGATGGACAGGCCACCGACATTCAAGGCATTGATCCACTTGTGCCTCCAAATAGACGCCCGGCTGCAGAGGCGAAGGACTCGCCGTGTATTCCAGGAGACCACCAGCATGCCGGTTCAGCAAGGGACTGCAGTGGATTGGGAGGAGCCCATGGAGTTGGGTGCCATCAAACCACACTTGTCGCAAATGAAGATGGACAGACGGCACACAGGAGATTGTGTTTCTACTGCGGGGATCCTGGACACCTGACCTTGGTTTGTCCCAAAAAGAGTAGGGGAGCTGCAAGGTCAGAAGCCTCCCCTCGGCTATGGAACAATGTGTTGGGAAACGGGCGGAGCCCAATCTGAGGGAAACTTTAGGTAGGGTGCATACCAAAACAGAGATGGCTGGCCCTCCCCGGCACATGATCTTGGCAGCATGCATCCTCTTGTCAGGTAGTCCGCAGGGAATTCCGGCCCATGCCTTGGTCGATTCCGGGGCTACCACGAACTTTATGGATGTGGCATTTGCTGCCAAGTATGACATCCCTCTGTATCCGCTGGACCCACCGATGCACGTCGAGACCATTGATGGCCAGGTGCTTCTGTCTGAGCCTATCAAGGCTGCCATGCAGCTCTTACATCTGGTCCTCAGGGAGCATGAGGAGGCCATCCAATTTTACGTTGCCTCGAATCTGCATTTCCCCGTGGTCCTGCGCTTGGCTTGGCTGCAGGTGCATGACTCTCAGATTCATTGGTCTCAGAACCTGGTCACGTTCCCATCCTTGCAATGTGTCAACCACACCTGTCATGTCTGCGCAGGCCAGGTGCTCAGCTTGCCGAGGGTGGGCATGCCGCTGGATTTAGCAGAGTTCACTTACGTCTTCAGTGAACAGGAGTTGGACCAACTGCTGCCGCACCGGCCTCATGACTGACCCATTGACTTGGTACCAGACACAAAGCTCCCTGTGGGTCACCTGTACTCCATGTCCAAGCCAGAGTTGGCTGCATTGCGGGACTTTCTGGACAAGACCCTCACGTGGGGTTTTATCCAGTTTCGTCTTCGCCACTGTCTGCCTCAGTCTTGTTCGCCAAAAAGAATACCGGGGATCCGAGACTCTGTTGTGATTACCGTCACCTGAATGCCATCATGGTGAACAACTGTTACTCACTGTCCCGGATTTCTGAGTTGTTGGAGTGGCTTCAGGAGGCGACGGTGTTCACAAAGCTGGACTTGCATGGTGCTTATAATCTGGTCCAAGTCCAGGTGAGGGATGAATGGAAGATGGCCTTCAGCCCCCGGTACAGACATTTCGAGTACACGGTCATGCCATTTGGGTTGACCAATGCCCCGGCAGTCTTCCAGCACTTCATGAACAATATCTTCCAGGACCTTTTGGATCAGTTTGTTGTCATTTACCTGGACGACATCTTGATCTATTCAACGTCTTGGAAGGATCATCAGCAACATCTATGCCTGGTCCTACAACAACTCTGGGAGCATTGTTTGTTCACAAAGCTGGAGAAGTGTCAGTTCTGGCAGACTACCATTGAGTTTCTGGGGCACTGTATTCCCCCTGAAGGAATTGCGATGGAGCCGGGCAAGGTAGAGGTGCTGAGCAGTTGGCAACCTCCTTGGCGTGTGAAAGACTTTTTGCAGGACACAACCATTCATACCAAGCTGGAAGCTCTTGTATGTATTGTATCTCTTATCTGTGGGAATCTGGGTTGCTGCCAACGTCTTGCCTGTGAGTAATTACTGTGAATAAAGCGTGGCTAACAGTAAGCTTGTGTCAACATTAATCACCAGACGGAGGGGGGTCAGAACAGATATTTATGCATAGTAGAAGAGAACAGTGGTAATATATTGAGCATTCCCTATCCCTATCCCTTCTATCTCTATCATCTCCATTTCTCCATTTCTCTATATAATCTATATCTATTTATTAATTACATGAAGGGATTGTGTGGTTGATAATTGCTAATTAAACTGGAATAAAACCTGAGATGGAAATAATAACTGAATCAACTTTTTTCACTTTTAGACATGGATGCCTGCTCTGAATGTCCACAAGATCAATATTCAAGCAAGAAACGTGACTCATGCATTAGGAAGACAATCACCTTCCTGTCCTATGAAAATTATTTGGGAACAAGCTTAGCTGCATTGGCCATTTCCTTTTCTCTCTTCACTCTTATAGTACTAGTAACATTTGTAAAACATCACAACACTCCCATTGTCAAAGCCAACAACCGGGATCTCACCTACATGCTCCTTGTATCTCTATTGNTTTCATTATGGATTCTTCAAAATCCAACTTGCACTTCCATAGAATGTCCCAGAGAAAATCTTTAGATATAGCATTCTAATCCTTGTAAATATAAGTGCAACATGATATTTGAATCTTTTCAAAGGACTTCATTATGCCTAATTAATGTTATGTATAGTACATTTTGAGTGGTGTTTTTTTTACCGATCCTAAAATGCAGAAGTTTATCTGCCATTTCAATAGCTTCATTGTCACTTCTAAATTTCTTCTTATGAATCATGAATTCTATCTCAACAATCACAAATTAAGAGAAGGTACCCCAAACTCTTTAATAGATTAAAAATACCAATTCCTTTTCATACAATTCATCTTAGATAAGTTTATAGATGGAGCAATCTATTTTTTTAACTCCACAATGTTTTAATTACATTCATCATTCTTTCTGTCAATCATTTTTAACCTCCTCTCTAATTGCTATATTTCTAGTTTGTGTATAGCTCCCTTCCAAAAATGGAGAAGAAAATCCAGATCACCTCTCTCTATGAAATGGTCCCAAATCAGGAATATCAGAACAAAGGGATTCTTCTGCTATTATTGTATTTCAAATGGACCTGGATCGGGGTTCTGGTTAAAGAAGATGAGAGAGAAGGATTTCAGCAAAACATACTCTCCAAGTTTTCTGACTCTGAAATTTGTGTTGAATTCTTAGAAAAACTTAAGCCTTTTCACATCAGCGCTATTTTTAATGGAATGAAACACTTTTGTGAATTGTATGATATTATCATGAACAGCAAAGCCAATACAGTGATAGTCTATGAACAAAATGTTTTACTTTTGAGGGTGTTGTTATATTTACCTCATATGGAAGAAGTACTTACAAAACCTAAAGCTAAAGTGTGGATTCTGGTCTCTGAACTGGATCTTGCTTCCTTCACATTTCAAAAGGGATGGGATATGCAAGGCCTCCATGGTGCTATATCCTTTGCTGCTTACTCCAATGAAGTTCCAGGATTTCAAACTTTCCTTCAAAATAGGGATCATTTATTCATAAAAGAAGATTTCTTTGTGAGAGAAGTGTGGGAACAAGCATTTGGTTGTGATTATCCCTCATCTAGGATTGAAGAAGGTACTTGCACTGGGAAAGAGAGATTGGAGAGCCTTCCAGCAACTCTTTTTGAAATGAGCATGACTGGCCATAGTTACAGTATATACAATTCAGTCTCTGCTGTTGGATATGCTCTACATGACATGCAGTCAAGTCTACAAAAATATAGAATGCTAAAGAAGGGAGGAAAATTGCAAAATCAGCAACCATGGCAGGTAAAGTAGTTCATTAAAAAATTAAAAGTATTATATTTAGTCAATTTAAATGTTTAATTATATGTGGAATGCATATATATTTTACCAAATGTTATGAATTCATTTTTCTCTCCATTGGGTTATAGAATCTAAACATTAAACAGTTAAGTAGTGCATCTATTTCTACATCCATCCATTCTTCCATCAATCCATCCATCCATCCATCCATTCATCCATCCATCTATCTATTTTTGGAAATTTATTTTATTTATTTGTTAAATTTATTGGCTTTCTATCTGCTTCTGGGGTTACTCAGGGTAGCTTACAACAGTAAAATGAAAAAAATGATACAAAATGTAAACATAACAATAGAAAAGCAATAAAACAAAAATACCGAATCAAAGTACAAGAATAGGAATTAAGGAATAATTGTATTTTGGTGTTTTTTCTACAAATAAATATTCATTCATTCATATATTTGAATGGCTACCTTTTCTCCAGGAGTTCAAACAGACATGATTAAGAATCTATTTCTGTTTCCATCACAAGATACTAGTGAAATACTGACTGGTTCTTGGACAGTTCTTTAAATACAATTGAGGCAATGAAATTGAGAATCAGTTTGATGTAGAATCAGGTTATGGTATTATCCAAGACATTGGAAGACAGTGAGTTCCAATTCTGCTTTAGGCACAAAGCCTAAATGTATTAATGGAGTTGAGAACCAGTTTGATATAGTGATTATCTTGCTTTAGGTACAAAACCAATAGGGTGACCCTGATTCACTCATTCTCTCTTTCAGCCTTAGTAAGCAGGCAATGACAAACCACTGCTGAAACCTAGCAAAGAAAACCTCGCAGTTGCAAGGAGTCAACACTGATTTGAAGATATACACATAGATATTAAAAGGGTTATCCTACTCACATGGGAAAAATTCACATAACATAAATTAGTTCCTCCAACATCTATTTTGTGGTGTCCAGAAACTCACAGAAGGTCTTAGAGTCAATTAAATGGACATTCAGTAGCTTAGTAGCTGGTTTATAATTGTAATTAATATTGAAGACACTGATGAAGACTATTGGAAAAATGTGGGATTTACTATATTTAGAATGAAATAATTCAATGTTTTCCATAACTGATCCCATTATATGTGCTTATTTATTTTTTCTTTCACGTCCAGCTCCACTATTATCTGAAAAGAGTCTCATTTAATAACAGCGCTGGAGATGTAATTTCTTTTGATATGAATGGCCAATTGTTACTTGGATTTGATATTATAAACTGGATAATATTCCCAAACCAATCCCTTCATCGAAAGAAAGTTGGGAAACTCAATCCTTGGGCTCCTCAAGAGAATATGCTTATGATTAATGATAAGGCCATCACTTGGCATAGTAGCATTAACCCGGTAGTCTCAAATTTTTATCTTCTGTGATTTTCAGTTGACAGTATTAAATCCAATTGTGTCCTGCAATAAACATACAAAGATGGCTGGCAAGGACTATACACAAACTTTAAAATAATGCATTATTCTTTAAAAGTACAGTTGTATTTTTGTATAAAATAAGACCTGTCAGATGGCATCTTTGCCTACTGGTTGTAATGAACTCAGTTTAAATTGCATTCAAGATTGTCACACATATGTGTTTGTGTGTGTGTGTGTGTGTGTGTGTGTGTGTGTGTTTGTGTGTAAGGTGGCTTGTCTAATATAGAGTGAATGGTTCAAAGCCACCCAGCTGGAAACTCACAGTCTTCTGGTTTTTAGACCAATACCTTAGCCATTGCAAGATAGGTGATAGATGATAGATGATAGATGATAGATGATAGATGATAGATGATAGATGATAGATGATAGATGATA